TAGTTGATATTACCAAATTATACTGTATAAACTAAGGCTTCGCTGGGATTTAACCATTGACGAGGCGTTATTGTCTGGGTGTTTTTATTAACTGAGCAACGAAGCCCCATGTTCTGAGCGAAGCAAATTTGAGTGGAATCTGCATTCCCTTATGGAAATTTGGCTACAATGAAGTGAAATAATTTCATTTCATAAACGACTACCGCAAGTCAGACCGGTCTTTTCGTACAGGAATTTTCCCTTTAGTCCGAACCGCCCTGCCAGATCAGTCGGTAGATGAGCCTTGGGAAACTATTTCGACAGACTACAGGGAGACCTCACGTGGACAAAAGTAAGGCTTACCGTCCACTGTAATTCGAATTAAGTGTTTACCAACAAAACTAAGCCTCTCGTAAAACGGTGACGTCAATAGTCTTCGTTTGCTTACTTGTTCCATTTTCGGCCGGATGATTAGACCTTTCCTCTGCGCATGCTTAAGAGTTGAGTGGAGCGTTGCTGCCTGCAGCGATTACTGCCGTTTTCAATTGCATCCCGGATAATGCTTGGAGAAGCCATTTATCCATTTCCAGCATGGTCGCAAAATATATTTGACGGAAACGATTTAATGCATTTTCAGAGTGAAAACACAGTTTTCAAATGATTCAGCCAATATAAATATGTGCACTTCTCACGATTAATGGACCTCCGATTTTACTAAGAACCGCAAAGATTGCCCCTCTAAGCTATTTAAGAATAGCTTAGAGGGGCAATCTAATTGAAGGGAAGTAATGATTTTTCACACAAACTTATGTTTTTAGTTATTTATTGGTCTGAAACGTTTATAACTAGTGCCTATCGTTATTTTAGTATTTTAAGCCTCCTAAACTCATTACTTTTGTCTTGCTTGATAATGACGTTATGTAAACGTCCGAAACGTCGTCGACTAGCCTTTTGTTTTTAGCCTTTGTTAGGTGGGGAGGGGGTGGGAGTTTAGAGCTAACTTGTCGCATTTCTAAATCGCTCCTACTTCGTAAACTTATATTAGGTAAAATCGATAGGCCTTATTAAAAGAAAAATTCTAGTGCAAGATTTGGGAGGAAAAAAAACCCGGGATTTGTTCGGGTGTTGTTGTTTTCTTTGAAAAAGTTCCATACCAAACAAGACTGAGTGAAGTCTTCTGAGAAAAGCTCTAGAATCGAGAACTAACAATAGGCTATCACACGGATATTTAGTTACGTTTTGAGCAATGATATGCTGAGTACCATTTAAGAAATCTCAAATTCTAGTTTCCTAAAGAAGAAAACATCAGGAGCTGGTTACAAAAATCGTTTTTAAACAACACCAAGATGCACGTAATTTACAGAGTTAAAAATCTTAAGCTAAAAATATTTACTTTAATCTGATACCTACCCTTAACTATTAAAGTGCATATGACACGAAATTTTTTTCTCTTGTTTCTTGTAGTTGGATATCTATAGAAAACGTTTCGAAGCTTTAAAAGTTCTGGAAAAATGTAAAAAGCATTATTTTTTGCTTTCAAAATACGCGCAATTTGCCTTTAAATCTGTCCCAGTGACTGGGACCTAGCTTATCGCCGTCGAAGTTATTCGTGACGTCACTTTGTGTACCTTTGCGCGAAGGTCTGGTGTCGCTAAGAGGATTCTGCAGTTCTTCGTAGTAGATAGATAATGCATTGAAAGCCAAAGATGTCCAGTGATTCTAATGATTCCTTTGAGTCCGACTCTTCTGAAAGTTCCATTGACTTCGAAGAATCTAGGTACACAACGTGATGTCACGATACGATATCAAGTGCGATTTTAGCCGCGCGATGACCGGGACAAATTTGAAGGCAAATTACGCGTATTTGGAAAGCAAATCTTGCTTTTTAGATTTTTCCAGCTCTTTTAAGGCTTCGGAACGTTTTCTATAGATATCCAAATAGAAGAAACAAGAGAAAAAATTTCGTGTCATATGCACTTCAACTAAACATCAACACTAAGAATTAAATATATAAAGAGAAATTTTAAATCGTTATACAATAATGGTGGAATAAATATATCTTATTAGACGTTTTTTTTGTGTAATATCGCCGAGTATTTTTACGACTTATGCCGTATTTTGACAGAGTCAAAATACACATAACAAGTAAAAATACTCAGCGATAAGATACGCCAAAACGTCTACTAGGTTATCCAACACGTTAAATTCTTATTTCACTGCGGAAATATTGACGGGGAGTGCGTGACAGAAGTATGTGAAGCGGAACGGAATTGGCGCGTTGTCGTGTTGCTATTTCTATTTTCTTCAATAAATGACGAAATTTCATTTTCTTCGTTCTATTTATCTAATAAACTTGGGTCAATATTCGCCAGCCATTCCGACTCTTCTTTGTCAGAAATATAATTTAAACTGTCCGCCATTTTTTTTTTGTAACTTCAATCCAATTCGTCGCTCGCGCGATGAGAGAAAACCTGTCTAACCAGTTCTCTGGAGCACAATACCGCGTGATATTTGTACTCGTCTTGGGCGGTATTTGTACTCTACGGAGTGTAGTTGAATTTAAAAAAAAATATGAAAAGTCTTATTTTCTAAGTTTACACATTAAAATGGGCAACATTGATGGTCTGTTTACACTTGAATGCAGATTGTTCCAGAGCTTCGTTCTGATGTAAGTAAATGACTTCCTCATAAAGTTAAGGTTAAATTAATTAGGCACAAGTAAATACGGTAAGCGCCATTTACCACTAATATTGTACTGTTTTTCAAGATTAACAAGGGTCAAAAACCCCGAAGTGTGTGCATATTTAAGTTTTAGTTCAATGAGCCATGTCCGACTATATAAAAAAAAAAACCATTTCAGTAATCTGCACAAGTGCAGTTATGAAAGATGATTGAATTGAATATTGCTAAGTGGACGCACCACTATATAATGTCTATTTTAACCCACGCGCGACAGTCTTTCCAGTTCTTTTTCTTGTCTAGGAACAGTTTTCCGGACTTGTGGTGGCCCCTAATTACCGCTCGAGGTCCGGATAAAGACATCAGTGCGTCATATTCCATGTTAACCTCCGAGTTTCGGTCACTGTCATGGTATGTCATTACGATCTTTTTCTTTTCAAACTTAGTGTCTGTAGGATCCCGCACTGTCGATGCATTCTGTAAATATGGAGTGTAAGGTTTGAGAACACTCACTAACTGCGGACTCAAAATGCAATTTCGCATTTTATTCAAATGAAAGGGCTCCCTCTGATCTAACATGATAACTTAACTTACAAAGTTATGTTGTAAAGATCACATATATTGCAAAACTAAAAATAAAAAGCTACTGAAGCCATCGGGGCGTGACAACTTGTTTTTAGGTAGGATTTACAGATCGTCATTACTGCTCCAGTGTACTCTATGCCAGCAAATCTATAATTAGATTTACTGAAGAGTTTGTTAGTAAAGCTCTTTTCTTGTTAGCAAAATTAAAGGAAGCGATTTGTTCAATGAGTCTGATGAACCTTCAGGGAAGAATTTTCCCGAAGATGATCCCACTCGGGCATCTTGCTGGCATTTCAAATGATTACAAGATGTGTTGTTTTTATTGCAAATCAACACATTTTCTTGACAAAAGGGTTTTTAAGTTCACACTTGGACCTTTCCTTAGCCAGGTCCTTTTCCACGCATTGTTCTCAATGACAGCAGAGACTTACCTTTACCATCAACTGTCCATTCTCCACAGCTAAGATGAAGTCCGGCTTTTTGGAGGGTCTGAAGGAATACATTAGGTTTTGACCAGAACATTCTCTTTTGCAGATGAATTCTATGAACAAACACAAATAGCATTCTTGAAAACTTAATCCTGTTAGTCATTTCATTGCTTTCACTAAAATGTCTGCCACGCAGATACAGGATATAGCTAAGCAGATAACTCAACT